GCAGTCACGAAAAAAGACAAAAAGGGGAAAAATAAATAAATAAATAAAATAAATGTTGAATGTTCATCTTTAAAGAAAAGTCCCTACTTTGATCCCATTTCTCCCCTGCCCTCCCCATTCTTCTAAGTTTTTCAACTTCTCTCAAGCCCAGATTTCTTGAACAGGTTGTCTCTATTTCTTTCTTTTTTCTCTATTTCTTTAATGCCCATTTACTTCCTAACTATAACTGCAGCCTGATTTCAGTGTCCTTTATTCGCCTGAAACTGTGCTTGCCAAGGATGCTGACTTCCTTTTCTGGTGAACATTTTTTGGTCCTTCTTTTAAATTGACTCTAGATCATTGTTTCCTATACCTAGTTACAGAAACCCACTGCCTTAGGATCACCAGAAGAATTTGTTAAAAAGACAGGTACCTGAGCCGTGGCCCCTGGAGATTATGACTTAGTAGGGCTAGCATAGGGCTTCAGAATCTAATTTTTAAAAGTTCCTCAGTGTGCAGCCAGTTTTGAGAAACTCTGCTTTCCATAGTACTTAACACCATTCTTGTCTAAGCTAGCTATTGATGGCTGTCATTTGACACCACAGACTCGTTCTTGAAACATTTTTTTCCTTGACTTCCTTGGCAGCATATTTACCATTCTCCTTGCACCCCCAACCCCGCCTCTTCTCACCACACATATGTCCTTTGCCATTCTTCCTTCGGAAGATCCTCTTCCCTGATAACCCCTTAAAAGTTGATGTTCTTCAAGGTTATTTGCTAGGCCCTCTCTTATCACTGTCTATGCCTCCCTGATAATCTCAAGGTTGTCAAAAACAAGGTTCCAGTTATCATCTTTAAGTTGATCATTCCCAGATCTGTGTCTCCAGTCATCTCTTCCTGAGCCTCAGATTTTTATGTCCAGCAGCCTCAAATATCCTATAGATAACTTTAGCTCAGTATATTCAAAATGAAACTCTTCTCTCCCCTAAAATGTGGTTTTCCTCCTTTGTTCCCTATTTCAAGTAATGTCACTAGTATCCACCTCGATGCTCAAATCCTAAACCTAGGAAAGAAACATTCTTCTTCTTCCTTTTCCCTCAAAACTACAAATGTGTTTTCAACTTACCAGTCTTGTTTTGGGAATTTATCCTACAGACCTAGAAAGTGATGATGTACAGTGTTCTCATTGTTTAGGAATAACAGAAGATTAGAAACAATTCAATATCCATCTGTAGGGGACTGGATAGATAAAACTGGATCCATTCTTGATGTGGCTGTGAAGATGATTGAGGAAGCTATGTACTGAAGAGATCTCAAGGATATGATGTTAAATGACAAAGCAAGAAACAACAGGACATATATGCTATCATTTATGAAATAAAGAGAGACAAGTCATATTTATATTTGCATAAACACACTAGAAAGATGCATTATGAATCATGTTACTATTACACTTTTTAAAATTATCAGATTGGAAGCTTTCTATATGAACATGTTTAAGTTCAAACTAAACTTTCAAACTAGGTGATCAGCTAAACTGAGAGCATCTTCTGAATCAATACTGTATATATTTAGGTTTTTGGTGTCAGAAATAGCTCGTAATTTTCCTTGTGATCACATTCCAGTCTTTAACTAGTATCTCATCTACCTTGCTTATATGCAACAACCACTGCTCTTCCCTGTTTCCTCCACCATAGGTAATATCTCTTGGTTCAGAACCACTTGTAGTGTGTTTGGAACTGACTTTCATGAGTTCTATTATAGTGACAAGCCTGATGTTTTTTGTTCTTGGCTTTTGGTTTTATTTGTTTGGTTTTAGGAATGATTTTTCTTACATATGATAGTGTAGCATTAGAGATTACCTAACCATCCAGTATATCTGCTTAAGACTCATCTCCAGTATTAAAGAAGAAATATATTTATACCTCATATACCTCATTTATTTAGAAGGGCTTTGGACCATTGATACTCTTTCACTATCAATTAAAAGTCTAGAAACTCAAAATTTGTGTAATTGGAATAATTTACCATTAATAGTTAGTTATGTCTTGTTTTCTTAACTTCTGTTTTGCATGCATTTTGTTTTGGTTTTGGCTATTTTTTTTTTTTTTTTTTTTTTTTTTTACAAAAAAAAAAAAAAAACAGAATAAATCTAAAAAACTTTATCATTTCTGTATATGCTTTTAGTCTAGGCATGAATATTCTTTATGGATTTTTAAAGTGTATTGTTTTATTAAAATAATATATTTTTATCATTGAAAAATTGGAAAGAAGAATGTAAAAAAATTGCAATTATCAATATCCAAAGGCAACTATAATTAATATTTTGGTGTGTTTCCTTTCTAGTATTTTTTAAACATGTTAACTGTTTTGGTGTATGAGCTTAGCTTTAAGACTTAAGCAGCCCCATCCCCTGTTATTTTCTCCTTGCCTCTTCCCATTTGCCCTCTCCCAAAAATCTAATCTTGGGACCAGCTTCCTCTGGTATACCTGCAGGAGAGATAGAGGGATGCCTGGGTCTGCAGAACCAGCCTTAGCCTAACTTTCACTGTTATTCTTTAGAACAGAAGGGAAAATAAAAGAAAGATATGGCTGGGCTTGTGCAGATGAGGCCGACTTTGTCTGTCTTTCTTATCATGTGGGGGCAGAAAGTGCAAGGATGAGTAAGTAGAAACTTTAAGCCTGGTAACTTTATTCACTGGTTTACTGTGGCCCCCTGAATGTCCTGTGCAAGCCTCCTCCTTTGGGTAGAGGGAGGGGAACAGCTGAAGAGTGCTGAGGCAGAAGGGTGGGGTAAAGCAGGAGGGGGTGGTGAAGAAGTGGAATATTCCCTCCCCAACCCTAGGTAAAATTCTAAGTGCCACTTTACTTATGAGTTAAGAAATGAGTGTCAGAAAATTGAAGTCACTTGTCCAAAGTTATGTGGCTTTTGTGTTGTAGTCTGTCATGTGAATTTAGGTCTTTCTGATCCTAAAGTCCACTGGATAGATAAAACTGGATCCATTCTTGATGTGGCTGTGAAGATGATTGAGGAAGCTATGTACTGAAGAGATCTCAAGGATATGATGTTAAATGACAAAGCAAGAAACAACAGGACATATATGCTATCATTTATGAAATAAAGAGAGACAAGTCATATTTATATTTGCATAAACACACTAGAAAGATGCATTATGAATCATGTTACTATTACACTTTTTAAAATTATCAGATTGGAAGCTTTCTATATGAACATGTTTAAGTTCAAACTAAACTTTCAAACTAGGTGATCAGCTAAACTGAGAGCATCTTCTGAATCAATACTGTATATATTTAGGTTTTTGGTGTCAGAAATAGCTCGTAATTTTCCTTGTGATCACATTCCAGTCTTTAACTAGTATCTCATCTACCTTGCTTATATGCAACAACCACTGCTCTTCCCTGTTTCCTCCACCATAGGTAATATCTCTTGGTTCAGAACCACTTGTAGTGTGTTTGGAACTGACTTTCATGAGTTCTATTATAGTGACAAGCCTGATGTTTTTTGTTCTTGGCTTTTGGTTTTATTTGTTTGGTTTTAGGAATGATTTTTCTTACATATGATAGTGTAGCATTAGAGATTACCTAACCATCCAGTATATCTGCTTAAGACTCATCTCCAGTATTAAAGAGGAAATATATTTATACCTCATATACCTCATTTATTTAGAAGGGCTTTGGACCATTGATACTCTTTCACTATCAATTAAAAGTCTAGAAACTCAAAATTTGTGTAATTGGAATAATTTACCATTAATAGTTAGTTATGTCTTGTTTTCTTAACTTCTGTTTTGCATGCATTTTGTTTTGGTTTTGGCTATTTTTTTTTTTTTTTTTTTTTTTGATGGCTGGCGGTATGGGGATCTGAACCCTTGACCTAACACCACACTCTAGGCCAGCCCTGTTTTGCATGCATTTAGAGGAGTTTTTTATAGGGTGGCTGAATCAATAGTATCAAGAATAGCTTACTTTATGATTAACAAACCTAATATGTATGGTAATTGGAAAATTTTTGTGTTCATTTTTAGCATGCTTTCAAAATAAAAATTCATTTACTAAAGCAACTTAAAAGGATGCAAAATGCTTATGTTTTGTTATAATACTTTCTATGTTGTTGCTTTTATTGTTTTCAGAATATTAAAAGTTAGCTGTAATAATACTTAAAAAAATTTTTTTTAATTCACCATAGTTCTTTATTTCACTCTGAAGACCAATTGCCAATTGTCTGGTTTGTTTTCTAAAGGTGTTCTTAAGGATTATTTAAGAGAACTTCCTTCTCCTCTGATAACAAAGCAGCTTTATGAGGCTGTATTAGATGCAATGGCAAAAAGTCCTTTGAAAATGTCATTAAATGGTTGTGAAAATGACCCAAGTGATTCTAAGTACACTGTTGACCTGCTGGACTGTCTGCCTGATGTTGAGAAGGTAAGCATAATTGTTGCATGTTTTTCCTAAAAGCCAGCTAGTATAATCCAAAGCAACACACAATTTTTTAGGTATTTGACATTTGTGTCATTCATGGCTTTAGGATCTGTCTTTACTGCTTTTTAAACAACATAAATCTAGAAATGCTTCTTAAACAGAATAAATCTAGGGCCGAGCCTGTGGCGCACTTGGGAGAGTTCGGCGCTGGGAGCGCGGCAGCGCTCCTGCCACGGGTTCGGATCCTATATAAGGATGACTGGTGCACTCACAGCGCTCAGTGGCTGAGCAAGGTGCGCCGGTCTCAAAAAGGACAAAAAAAAAAAAAAAAAAGAATAAATCTAAAAAACTTTATCATTTCTGTATATGCTTTTAGTCTAGGCATGAATATTCTTTATGGATTTTTAAAGTGTATTGTTTTATTAAAATAATATATTTTTATCGTTGAAAAATTGGAAAGAAGAATGTAAAAAAAATTGCAATTATCAATATCCAAAGGCAACTATAATTAATATTTTGGTGTGTTTCCTTTCTAGTATTTTTTAAACATGTTAACTGTTTTGGTGTATGAGCTTAGCTTTAAGACTTAAGCAGCCCCATCCCCTGTTATTTTCTCCTTGCCTCTTCCCATTTGCCCTCTCCCAAAAATCTAATCTTGGGACCAGCTTCCTCTGGTATACCTGCAGGAGAGATAGAGGGATGCCTGGGTCTGCAGAACCAGCCTTAGCCTAACTTTCACTGTTATTCTTTAGAACAGAAGGGAAAATAAAAGAAAGATATGGCTGGGCTTGTGCAGATGAGGCCGACTTTGTCTGTCTTTCTTATCATGTGGGGGCAGAAAGTGCAAGGATGAGTAAGTAGAAACTTTAAGCCTGGTAACTTTATTCACTGGTTTACTGTGGCCCCCTGAATGTCCTGTGCAAGCCTCCTCCTTTGGGTAGAGGGAGGGGAACAGCTGAAGAGTGCTGAGGCAGAAGGGTGGGGTAAAGCAGGAGGGGGTGGTGAAGAAGTGGAATATTCCCTCCCCAACCCTAGGTAAAATTCTAAGTGCCACTTTACTTATGAGTTAAGAAATGAGTGTCAGAAAATTGAAGTCACTTGTCCCAAGTTATGTGGCTTTTGTGTTGTAGTCTGTCATGTGAATTTAGGTCTTTCTGATCCTAAAGTCCGTGCTATTCACATCCTGTCAATTGAGGTGGCATAATATCCCATTGAGTGGATTTGACATACATAAAGTTATGTGGCTTTTGTGTTGTAGTCTGTCATGTGAATTTAGGTCTTTCTGATCCTAAAGTCCATGCTATTCACATCCTGTCAATTGAGGTGGCATAATATCCCATTGAGTGGATTTGACATACATTATCACTATTCTTTTTTGTATAATATTTAGATTTTGAACCTATTTGTATATATGTACACAGAAATTTTTTTTTCAGTTAGAATTATTTAGAATCTCAGAAGTAGAATTGTTCATTTAAATGATGTGAACATTTTAAGACTCTTAATACATATTTTCATACTACTTTTCAAAGGGGACACGACAATTACACTTTTTGGCTCATCTCATTTAGTAAACGAAGAAAAGGTATCTTATTTCAAGTTGCATTTCTTTGTTTGCTATTGAGATTGACCCTAATATATTTAACCAGGTGTGGTGTTGTATGGGTGTATATGTTGTTCATAGTCACAATATGCTGATAATAGCCTTAAGAGGTTAATGTATAAGTGGAGTTCCACTTGTGTTAGGAAATACATTGTGAATGAAAAAGAGGAACAAATAATATGGTTTACATATTTGAATTATTTTATTTAAAATATTCGTTATAGTCTTCTTTAGCTTTTATTCCTTCTTCATTCCTTCCCTTTACAGCCAAACATTGAAAGGATGTTTATCCCGGCTGTCATCACTTCACCACTCATTCACTACTCAACACACTGTAATCTGACTTCCTACCTCATCTCTCTGGACTTGTTCTTGCCAAGGTTACTAATGACCTTCTAATCACCAAATCCAATTGTCACTTTTGGCTCCAAAAATAATGTCATTTTGATCTCTTCTTTATTTTTAAGATTTAAAAATTACAGTTTTTAATTAGCATTCATTTCTTCAATACACTTTATGAAGAAATTACATATGCTACTACTTCAAAAAACATCATTCCTTTCCATAATTGCTTAAACCTAAATAACCATTTTCACTTTTTGAGCTACTTCCTCTTACTAGTTTCTTTAAGGATTAAAAAAATACATATTTTTTCAATAATTTTTTATTTCACATCTAACTGTACTGTTTTCCCTTTTACATGGTTTATCTACTTAAGATATTTATTGGTTAAGAAGCACATTTGTCTTTTAAAAACATGTCTTTAATAATCTCAATCATCAAAAAACCTGACCATGTTCTGAAAAAGTTAGCTTACTGGATTTAAGTATGGTAGTCCCTACTTACAACTACAGGATTTATTTATACTTAAAAAGGAACACTCTTACCCTGATCCCTTTTCTATCAGAGCCTTTTGTTATAATGCCAGAGGAGGAAAGAGAGGAAAGAGTTAATGATGCATTTTCCTAGGGACTCCAGCTAAAATTTGGAAGGCATTCACAAGCGTTTTATAAAGAGTGTGTACTGAACCATTTAATTGATTAAATTATGTCATTGGAACATAATTTAGGTCCTGTGTAATGTTTCTATATAAACATATATTCCAGGTTCCAAACATCCAACTTATGAACAAACTTTCGAAACAATCCTTTTAAAAGTGACAGGATGCCTATTTATATTTTCTGCTATAAATTGTGTCCTTGAATTTGTCCCTGTGTGATTATATTAAGTGAGATTTAATTTAATTTAGGCAACTCTAAAGATGTTGTTGGACCATTTGAAATTGGTGGCTTCTTATCATGAAGTGAACAAAATGACCTGCCAGAATTTGGCCGTGTGCTTTGGACCAGTGTTATTAAGTCAGAGGCAAGAGACTTCCACCCATAACAACAGAGTCTTTACTGATTCAGAAGAACTTGCAAGTGCTTTGGATTTTAAAAAACATATTGAAGTTCTTCATTACTTACTCCAACTTTGGCCAGGTAAATGATTCTATGGAAATATTTGTCTCTTTCAATGGTAGCATGTTTGAATTAGCTAATCATTAAATATGCATGTATACAAGGGTACTTCAAAAAGTTTGTGGAAAAATGGAATTAAAAGATATTGTGAATCTTTCCATGAACTTTTGAAGTACACTTGTAGTTATGAATCAATACCTGCCCTTTAGATTTTTCCATTTAAATTTACTGCCTTTGCTGATAACATTGTGGACATATAAATCAATGTACCATTTTGGATTTGCTTAGATCTGGATCTGAATCCTAGTTGTGCCACTTATTGACAGTCTGACCTTGGGCAAGTTCCTTAACATCTTAGAGCCTCAGTATTATCTGTTGTCATATGGACTTAATAACATGTTTATAGACTTTATATGAGGATTAAATAAAAAATTATGTATGGTGCTCGGCATAGCTCTTGGCACACAATAGATTCTCAGTAAATATCAATTTCTTTACTCTTTTCATTTTTAGTTCCACTGTTATGAAGCAGAGTTCATTTTCTTTTTAAATCACTTCCTCCTGACATCTTTACTGTATTCATAGTCATTCTTCATATTATCCCAGCTTGAACTGGTACTTATCTGATCTTGCCATCTTTCTTATCCATCCCTTATTCCAGTCAATAACTACAGGCTGGCAATTATTTTCCTAGAAATGTATCTCTTATATAGTTTCAGAGCTAAAAGGAATATGTATTGAATTAGATGTTCTCTGAAGGATCCTGTATTTAAGTTCCAAAATTTTCTTATCCTATAGTAACCCCTCGCCCCACACCACATTGGACCAAACGTGAAAGTACTTAAATAATTAGCATAGAGCACAGTAGTAAGAGTGCGTGGAGTCAGGCTTGGATTCAGATCTGGACTGTGGCACTTGACAGTAGGGTGGGCTCAGGCAAATTCCTTAACTTCTCTTTAAGCCTCTGTTTTCTTCTCTCTAAATAGTGCCTACCTTGGGGTTGCTATAAAGATTGTGATAAAGCATCTAAAACAATGAGCAAAGTGTTTAGCAGAGTGAGCCCTCAGTAAATGTTGTTTGCTACTCTTTTATTGATATATATGAGAAGAAAAGACGAATGAATGCACAAATGAATGCTTGATTCTTTTAAAATAAATCTAATTAATTTTAGAAAGTGAATTAAAAATTAATTTAATAAAATTCTCAACTTTTAAATTTGGAAAGTTAAAGTTTTTACCCCTTTCTTTTAAACACAAGCTTAAAAAATTACTTCTAATTTTTATTTTAACTTAATTAGAATGTATTTTAGTTATTTTAAAATCCTGAATCAAGATTCTGTGGGTAATTGGGCTAATTTTAGCATTTAGTGTCCAACGTAAGGGATGTTTGAAATTAAAGTTTTAAGTGTGTGCTTCCTAATTTTTTCTAGAACTGCTTTAATTCTAGTAAATATCAGGAATTTGGGAGACAGCCGTCTTATCATTATAATCACAAATGAAAGCTTGCTTCCCTGGAGATACCATTACACTTACTATCAGTACCTGAGTTGTTTGTCATTAATTCTGTATCAAAGGTTAATGTCATTTCATTATTTTGTAATAGCCACCTAAGTTTTGTGTTTGGGAGCAAAAAGTTAATTTTTATCCTGTGATATAGAAAAAGCAGGTTCAAATTTCATATTCACTGTATTTTTTTAAAAATTTACTTCTCAATATACATTGTAATTGATTTCCATGCCCCTTTACTGTATGATACCTTTTTCCAAAGATTTGTGATGTTGATTTTAAAAATAACTGTTTCTTTTTCTATAAGCTGTTATTTTTCTTTAGTTGTAGTACCTCAGACAAATGGCAGAAAAGGGTGGAAGGATAGGAAGACAGAACAATTAGTTTGCCCTCTAAATCACCTGCTATTCGATTCAAGAAAAGGCAGAAATCAAGTAGATGTGGTGCAGTTACTGAGCCTAAGAAAGTTGATGCTGACATAGAGAATGTGGTGAGGACTGGGCCAAAGCATATCAACTCAGTGAATGTCTATCTTCATGCATTCAATAAAAGGTTTTGGCTTTTCTTGCTATGTATATCTTATTTTTCTTTTTGAAATTTCCCCCATTCCAAAGTTAGAAAGAGTTGCACCTCCCTTTTCACTTTTTAAACTTTTTGTTTTGTGGGGTTTTCTTGTTTTTTGATTTTAGGCATGAAGATAATTTGCTTTGAAAATGTGATTTCTGTTTGAAAAATCATGTCTTCAGAGTAATAGGTTAGAACTCTAGCATATCAGCACTAGAAGGTAAAAATCATACCTATAGCTAACAGTTTTCAGATTGTCTTGCACCAAGCCATGAGGTTCTTTGGAAGTGGCTTTGGGGCCAGATTGGCAAAGGGTACAAAATGGAAACACATTTCCCTTTTGACCAGAACAGTCTTTTCATCTTTCTTATGTATTGTTTTTCACGAAAATTTTTCTATTAAAAATAAGTTTGCTGTTTTAAGAAGAAGACAGTTGGCCCTTCGTATGTGTGGGTTCTGTACCTGCAGATCCAACCAACTGCAGGTCAAAAATATTTTTAAAAACTGCAATAAAAAATAATAATACAACAATAAAAAGTAATACAAATTTTAAAAACCATACAGTATTACAACTATTTACCTAGTGTTTACACTGTATTAGGTATTATAAGTAATCTAGAAATGATTTAAAGTATACAGGAGGGTGTGTACAGGTTATGTGCAAATACTACATGACGTTATATCAGAACCTTGAGCATCTTGGATTTTGGTATCCTGGGGGGTCCTGAAACCAGTCTCCCTCACCTCCCTCATAATGAGGGATGGCTGTACTGAAAATTACTGATAGGCCATCCTATCACTTTACAAATGGGAAAATAGATTTAGGTAGAGTATAACTCCTAGATCTTTGCTATGCCACATTTTCTATGATGAATAGATTTGGGACAGGATTTTTGGAAATTATATCAATTTTTCGCTAATCCTCATTATTTCAATTTTCTCACTAGATTGTAAATTTATGAATAGATTTGGGACAGGATTTTTGGAAATTATATCAATTTTTCGCTAATCCTCATTATTTCATTTTTCTCACTAGATTGTAAATTTTGTGATGTCAGGGATTATATTTTTGCTCACCCTTATATACCTGGGTCCTAGCTATATGCTCAATATATTTCTGTTTAATAAGGTATTATACTATAGATAAAAGGCATTTTCTCACTAGATTGTAAATTTTGTGATGTCAGGGATTATATTTTTGCTCACCCTTATATACCCCGGTCCTAGCTATATGCTCAATATATTTCTGTTTAATAAGGTATTATACTATAGATAAAAGGCTGATAAAGTGGTGATTAAAAAACAAATCTATTGGTAGAAAACAAGATAAGGAAAAATTAAGTTTCTTAGTACATTACATTACATTTCAGCATTATATTATAGACTGAATTTTTTATCTCGTTCTGTTGAAGTTGAGTGGTCAACAGTAGTGGGGAAACTACAACTTTTCTTTTGGGGTTAAAATTAGTCATTTTCTCTGCATATTTAATAGGAAACTCTTCCAGCATCAGTAATTTAAAAGTCCCAGTGATATTGATTTTTCAGAAATTGAAGTTTTAGTCTAAAAGATATAAAATATCAGTTTAATTGGCTTCTTAAATATTTTCCAAGAAAATATACAAAAATAATGTTTGAATAGGGTCTTGGCTAAAAACAAACTTAAGCAACTAGAAACAAAATGAATCTGGGTTTTTTAAGCAAATGTCAGAAAATACAGGCAAAATTAGACAAGCTTAAGACAGAGAGTCAAAATATATATATAGTTGGATCAGACCACATGACCTTAAGGTTAGCAGAGTACTGTAATTGATTGGTGAAAACAACAAGCATGACAGTTAAGTGCTAAGAACAGTAATAGCACAGAGAATGAAGGGAAAAATCGAGGAGACAGTGGAGATGAGCAGCTAGAGGAGAAAAAGGAATATGAATAATTAAACAGTGGGAAAACTCAGATATCCATTCTTCAATTACAGCAGTTAATGGCATGGAACATTCTATATTAATATTGACATTAAAGATCAATTTATTTATTTATTTATTTATTTTTAAAAGATGACCGGTAAGGGGATCTTAACCCTTGGCTTGGTGTTGTCAGCACCACGCTCAGCCAGTGAGCGAACCGGCCATCCCTATGTGGGATCCGAACCCAGGGCCTTGGTGTTATCAGCACCGCACTCTCCTGAGTGAGCCACGGGCCGGCTCCTTAAAGATCAATTTAAAGTAAATATCCTACCTTTATTTTCTAGAAAGTTTTAAATCAAGAACTGTTAACTATCTATAATGATATATAATAACCATCATAAAAATGTAATAGAAATGTTAAAAACATACCTATATATAGTTATCAAGTACTCTAATAAAATCTAAGTAAAAAAATTATTTGGTCTCTAAAAAGTGTTATGAATATCACTGTAAATCTGAAAAACTAGAACCATATACATTTGTGTAGTTTTCAATTGTCTTATTTTGTACAATAGCAAATAAGCATTCATTATATGCTGAACAGTGTGAAGTTGGTGTGTTAGCACTGATTTATGTTCCCTCTGTCTTAGTGAAGGGAAGTATAAATGGAGAGGCACTTATTAATGGAGAATAAACAAGCGGAAAGAGAAAGTTATTATGGATAATCTTTAATAGTTGTGTCTCAGTATTTCAAATTAAATCCATTTTATATACAGAAGAGCCTTAGACAAATATTTTGTTCCATATACACAACAGAGTAAGCAGTACAGCCTGGGTTTGTAATGAAGTGTAATATGTGTCTCTGTGGTAATCTTCCATGTGGCCAGCACAATGAAATCTCTCAGAAGAAATTAGTCTTAATATGGGGAATGTTATTTGGGATTGTTAAATACCTAACCACAATGGGAAAATAAAATATCTGTACTATTTTCAGGCAATAAATGAAGACAATTAGTAGCTAATGCTGTATAATCAAACTCAGGTAACAAGTGGTCAAGTCTAGTCTTCACGCATTTTATCAAAGTGAAATTTGGGCTGCTTAGTAAATTATGACACTGCTGCTAATAGAATCGCAGAAAAGCCCACAAAGGTCAGAACTTTTAGAGTGATCCCTTTAGATGCCTTTGCCTCATTTAGATGTTTGCAGACAAAGGAGATTTTTGTTTTGTTTTGTTTGCACACCAACATGCCTTGCCTGCTTTTTGCTATAGCTTTTAATTTAGGAGAAGCTACCAGCTTAGCTACTGTTTGGATTATAGCTAGATAATAATTAACTTGCACAGAAAGTTAATCAACATTGGAAATTTGATTTGTTTTGGGATGTTATGATATAGCATGAATTAGCGCCACTGAACATTCTACTAGCTTCTATCCCTAATCTTGATTATGTCTGGTGATAGAAAAATAATTATGGAATGCTTTCTTTTGATAGTGTGCATGTCCTTGTTTTAATGCATGTTTGTAGTTGATTATTAAATAGCTTATCTTTAGCTCTGTTTTTTAAGGCCAGCTGGATAACTGTCACTAAAGCAAATTTATTGTTCATTTCTAGTGCAACATTTAACTGTCAAAGAATCAACAGACAATTTGTTCCCAGAGCAGAAGTCTTCTTTGAATTATTTGAGGCGGAAGAAAGAAAGACCTTACATGTTAAATTTGGGTGGCACTGATTCATCAGGAGTACTTAGGCCAAGGCAAACCAGATTAGACAGTCCACTTAGCAATCGTTATGCAGGAGACTGGAGCAGCTGTGGAGAAAACTACTTTTTAAATTCAAAAGAAAATTTAAATGATGTGGATTATGATGATGTCCCTTCAGAAGATAGAGAAAATGGAGAAGATTATAGCAAAATGGATGGGCCAGAAATAATGATTGAACAGCCAATTCCCATGTCCAAAGAGTGCACATTTCAGACATATTTAACAATGCAGACAATTGAGTCCACAGTAGATCGAAAAGTTAATCTGAAAGATCTACAAGAAAGTATTGATACTTTGATTGGAAATCTGGAACGTGAGCTCAAGAAAAACAAGCTTAGTATGAGTGTTTGATATTGAGGGTTTTTATTTGATCTCTCATAATGTCTTGAAGTTTCAAATCAATTTTTCTCTCTTTCCTTGTATGTCCCACAGTGATGTTTTTATTTTTTTACTGTTGAAATCTTAAACTAATTTCTAATAAGTTCATGTGATTCAATTAAAAACATTATTCTTTAATATAATTTTTACTTATTAGAAAATTTTTCTGGGGGTAAAGATAACTCGGACTTCTTGGGATATTTTAATAAATTTTGCCAATTCTATGGAGATAACTTTCAAATGCACTTATAAGATTCAGATAAGTTATTAGCCCTCAAGGTTTTTATACTTTAAGGAACCGCTTTTCTGTAGCTGAGACATATGTTCCTTGTAGAGCAATGTTGCAACTGCTCAGTGTGATTTGCAGTATGAATCCTTACACACTGCAGTGTCATTTGGTCACATTTCATTTGCAATGCAAATGCTGCTATAAGAAAACATTTTTATAAATAAAAGTAAATTTGTAAAATTAATGTATTCTGTATTAACATTAGTAATTATTTAAACTTATAAAAATTAAATATTTTTATAATCCTGAAAATATGTATATATTTATAAGTGCGTATAAGTATTAGAATGGGGGGAGGGGTTGACTGTGGAATCACATGTATTTTTAAAGTATATATGTCATGAGGCCAAAATTATTAGCTTAAAATGTCTTTTTCAGGGTAAGGACATTTAAGTTGAGGAGTTACATAAAAACGCTTGAACAAAAATACTCTAGAAGCATCTGAATAGAAATAATAGACTTTCTTTTTTTGATTCACAGATAGTCACAATATCCCCTGTGAAAAGGCGTCTTTTAAATTAAAATCCTGTAACTCCTTAAGGGATTAAGTGCCCATATCTCTGCACTGGTGACTTGGATTAAAGAAATCTAAATCTATTCTATGCAATTTTGTATTTGCTTTAAGTATTTATTTGTAGTGGTACATTTAATACAGTTACTTTATAATTAAAGCCATTCGTTTCTAAAAAATTATCTTGCCGGCATACTACATGTTATTATTGATTTTTAAAAATTAACTTATTTTTGCTAAGTATATCTATAATGTAGTCATTATAGCAGTCACAACAGTGTTTGAAAATGTAAGTTTAGAAGGCTTTTTTATTAAATCGGGATGTATTTTTTAAACTTTTATACTTAGAGAATGTGTAACTTAAAAATTATGAGGGTACTTCAGAATGTTTGTGGAAAAACAGAATCTTTTAAATAATGCAACTATTTCCATGAACTTTTTGAAGTACCCTCATATACATAAAATTTAAATGACCAACTTTAAGGTATAGCAGCCATTAAAAAAACTGACTTTCTGATGTTTTTCTAAATATTAAACTATTACTATGCAAATATACATTGGTAAAGAGATACCTTGTTATTTAATTTGAAAACCATTGTGAAAAAACAGAACTATTTTTATATAAAATTTTCGGTTTTTAAAGCTTTGTGTAATAACTCAGAATACCAAAAGAATATGTGACAGATATATGTATTGAATAAACAGTCAAAAGAAAGTACTTTTAAATGTTTTGTAGGAAGACTGTCTGTTTTCTTCCTTTTGTTTGCCATATGATATATATTGTATGAATTGAATAAGTTGTTCCAGAAATGTAAAAATTTTATTAAAATATTATAACTTTGGTGTCATGCTATTATCATAATGATTTTAAAGATCACTTATTTTAATGTCTTTTTTAAACAAAGGTGTTAGAGTATTGGGCCATCATGTATTATCCATAACTATATATAATAACATTTATCTGTCCAAAATTGAATTTTCCAGAATCTGAAATACTTTAAGGACCATGCTTATATTATTATATTATTTTGGATGAGAATAAAGTTAATTTCTACCATCTTAGAGAATTCTAAATATTTTTTGTTGTCTAATTACTGAGTCATAACTATAAACCCCTTTTATTGCTGCACCCAAAGTGCTGAGTAAGCTTAAATGCCTTTACTTCCAATGGTCTTTCTCTTCAAATCTTTTTTGACGGTTGGATCCTGGCAGCAGCTGCATGGTTCCTGTCTTCTCTGGTTCTCCTTGCCACCTCCCTTTCGCTTCGGGAAACATGGCCTCTGGTGTGGCTGTCTCTGATGGTATCATCAAGGTGTTCAATGATATGAAGGTGTGCAACTCATCAACACCAGAAGAGGTGAAGTGCAAGAAGGTGGTGCTCTTCTGCCTTAGCGAGGACAAGAAGAACATCATCCTGGAGGACGGCAAGGAGATTCTGGTAGGTGATGTGGGCCAGAGTGTTGACGACCCTATGCCACCTTTGTCAAGATGCTGCCAGACAGGGACTGCCGCTACGCTCTCTATGACGCAACCTATGAGACCAAGGAGAGCAAGGAGGAGGGCCTGGTGTTTATCTTCTGGGCTCCTTAATCTGCACCCCTTAAGAGCAAAATGATCTATGCCAGCTCCAAGGATGCTATCAAGAAGAAGCTGACAGGGATCAAGCATGAATTACAAGCAAACTGCAACGAGGAGATCAAGGACTGGTGCACCCTGGCAGAGAAGCTGGGGGGCAGCACTGTCATTTCACAACAGCAGCAAGCCTTTGTGAGCCCCCTCCAGCCCCCTGCCTGGATCATCTGGCAGCCTCAGACCTGCTCTTGGGGGCTGCAGGTTGCCCCCTTGTCAAGGACTGGTGCACCCTGGCAGAGAAGCTGGGGGGCAGCACTGTCATTTCACAACAGCAGCAAGCCTTTGTGAGCCCCCTCCAACCCCCTGCCTGGATCATCTGGCAGCCTCAGACCTGCTCTTGGGGGCTGCAGGTTGCCCCCTTCCTACCAGATGAGGGGCGGGAGGGATTCCATCAAGGGGAGGGCAATCCTTTCACCCCAGTTGCCAAAAAGCTTCCTCACCCCCCAGGGCTTCTTCCTCCCTCCATCCCTGATGGTTCTGGCTTTCCCAAACTGCTTTTGATCTTCTGATTCCTCCTGGGTTGAAGCAGACCAAGTTCCCCACAGGCACCCCAGTTTGGGGGAGTGGCTGTATTTCTTTAACAACACCCCTAGTTCCTACCTGTTCCTACCCCTTCCCATGCTGCCAACTTCTAACCACAATAGTGACTCTGTGCTTGTCTGTTTAGTTCTGTGTATGAATGGATTGTTGTGGAGATGACCCCTCCCCATGCTAGCTGGTTCCGTTCTCTTTCCCCTGGTCACGGCCACTCATGGAAGCAAGACCAGTAAGCGACCTTCAATTAAAAATAAAAGAAAAAGACAAAACTCCAATCTTTTTTGAGTTTTTATAATTTCCTGGGAACTTCCTATTCTGTTAGACTGTCATCTGTGTAATATTTTTTAGGATTAAAACAATTTTAATTTTAGTGCATGTACCTGAATAAACATTTTAAACAATCCAGATGGATAGAAAATGAAAGAGTTCCTCCCTGCCATCTACACCAATCCCACTTCTCAGAGGTAACAGCCTGTTTATTGATTTATCATGGAAGTAGTATCTGTTGATTATCCATTATGAATAATAAGCAATTTAGCTCACTCCATTCCTCCTCACCATTTTTGTTGTGTTTTTATTTCTTCTTTTGTTTTCCTTTACAACTTTAATAATCTTTATTTTGGGGTTGGCTGGTTAGTTCAGTTGGTTAGAGCATGGTGCTGGTAACACCAAAGCCCAGGGTTCAATCCCTGTATCAGCTGCCCCAAAACCCCAAAAACAATAAAGAAAGAAATAATTTTTATTTCTTGATCCATTGATTTTAAACCGTCTCTCTTGACTCCTTACCACCGAGGAGATGACTAACTCTATACTTCCCTTCCAAGTCATTACTGCTCTTGATCTAACTTCTGTAAGTTATACTATTAGTTTATATAATCAATAGTTGCATATTATTTTGGGGAACTATACTTATGTTTTTCATTTGTATATTGATTCTAAAAACTGCAAATTAATAACTAGCAGTCACACTAGATTATGCAAAAATATTCACAGATAAACCAGGTGATTTATCTTCTATATAATCAATCCTATATCCTTAAATCTGCACTGATTTAAGCAGAATGTTGTAAGTATAAATATCAAATGGACACATGTAATATTCATCGACTTCTCCAAATCATGCCATGTGTTATTTGCTTCGTGATTGGGTCATGGCTTTTGCAGCTTTTTATTTTTCCTAGAATATTTGCTTTTTTTTTGGCCGAAGAAAAATGCCTTCTGCACTATAACTCTTTTTTTTTTAATCATACTATTGAACTACGAAATTTGTTCAGAGTGCTTTTAGCTCTCATCTTGGGATTCCTGAAGTATATTCGTGTCTTTATTTTTCTTTGACAAAAGAAAAATGTCCTCCTCAGTATAACCCTGAGAATATTTTATGCTTCTTCAACTCCATCAAATTTGGACAAAGTGATTTTTTAGCTGTCATCCTGGAATGTATTTTCTTTGTACTCCTATGTTCTACTTTTTGGGGGGGATCCCATTCTTCCTTGAATTTGTTTTTGTTTGCTGAGGTATATTTACAAGTGCTGTTTTCCCCCTACAAAGGGTGCATGGGAGATAAACTCTGAGTCCTTGTGTGTCTGACAAGCCCTTTATTTCTTGCTCACACTTCATTTTGATTGGACCTTCAGTTCTAGGTTCAAACTCATTTTCCTTCAGAACTTTAAAGGTATTTCACTGTTATCTTCAAGCATCCAGTTTTGCAGTAATTCAGGCTAGAAAGATGGTGATTCAGACTAGGATAGAAGCAATAGAGATAGGGCTGGTGGGTTAGCTCAGTTGGTTAGAGTGCAGCCTTATAGCACCAAGGTCATGGGTTCAGATCTCTGTACTGGCCAGCCGTCCTACCCCCATCCCACACACACCCCAAAAGGAGGCAATAGAGACAGTGACAATGGTTGGATTTGGGGTATATTTTGAAGTTGGAGCTAAAAGAATCTCCTGGTGGACTATGAAAAGATTAGGGCCTGAGCACCTGAAGAATGGAGTTGCCATCAAATGAAATTGAAATGACTACTTATTTTTTAAATGAGTTCTTTGTATTGAATATTGATATGATTAAAATGGTAGTTCTCAAAGTGCCTTACAATGTGCTGTTTACTAATGCTTCTGTACCTGGTGGTGATGCTCATAGAATCACTGCTAGAATAAGAATACAAGAAAGCAAGAATGCTTCATATATGGGGTACTTCAAAAAGTCCATGAAGAAATGGGACTGAAAGATAATAGAAGTCTTTTCATGCACTTTTGAAGACTCTGTGTATGTTTAAGTAAAGTCCACATAATAACTGTCTTTGGAAAATTCCTAATTGTGTAGCTTTCTTTATATTAGGGACCCTAAAGAAACAGTTTTGGGTAGTGGTACGTTTCCTGAAAATAATTTAGTTTCCAGACTATGCGATGACTTTGACAGTTAGGATATTATAATTTAAAAACATTAATTTTTAGGTTCTTGGATATGAAAAGGTCACGTTATGTTTATCAATAACAAATCCTAATTTGACTCTTACTGACCTGAGGACTTTGGTACAAAGAGAAATGCTCTTTTGCTCTTGTCCCTGCCCAGTTTTCATTTTGAATTCAGTGAGGCTTGTATTTGATAAACATTGTGCCGCAAGTCAGAGTTGCATTCTGCCTTAGCCAAAAACTGGCAAGCTCAGGAAGAAATTGAATTTATTGGAAAAATATATCAGAGGGAAGGCTGTTTTTAGGGCACTGAAAATCTCATATTTTCATGTGGGGATGGTTTCATAGGTGTTTACATAACAAGTTGCACACTTAAGATTTGTGGCCTTTATATAAGTCATACACAATTTTTAAAAGTAAATTTTAAAAAGTGTACAAGCAGGAGAAATAGACTTGGAAAATAAACTGAAGCTAAGAGAGGCTAGGTGGTCAGAATGACAGCAATCAGGCCATGCGTGGTTATGGTGCTGCTGTTACTGCCACTGCCACGGAACAACCCCACATACACCACTGGAATTAAATGTAAAGCATCCCTGATTCTGCATCATTCCTGATTCTAAGTCCCTGACAAGCATCAGATTGTACCCCAGCTTCCAGGAATCAGAGAGCAATTAGCTTGCATCATTTCCCCAAAACTTACACATTGGTAAATTCTATGGCTACAAGAAGGGAATTTGGATGCTGAGCAGTCAAAACAGTGACAAATGTTCACCACACTTTCCTAGTCTCTCCAGTTTTCCACTGACCCTGTTACCCCCAAATTGGTGTCTTTCTCACTTCCCACCCCATATCTCAGCCATCAACAGGTCTGAGTGCCATATATCCTGAGACTGTGCACTTCGTCAGTTTGTCACTGCTAACTCCCTAGTCCAAGCAACCTTCATCCTTCAATCTCTTCCTGTTTCATCTCTTTGCTATCACTCCCCCCTCTCCACATGCACAATCCATTCTATTCACAGGAGCTAAAGTAATCTCAAAAAGATAAACCACATCATTTCCTGAGCCTTTCCCCTTGATCCCCGTGCTCTAACAACACTGGGGACCTCGTTTCTGTCCGAGGGTCTTTGCGCTTGCCATCCCTCTATCTGGTAAGCTCTTTATCCAGATCCTACTTGGGTAGCTTTTTGTCATTCATTTCTCTGCTCAAATGTCACTTCAAAGAGGCTGCTCTGAAAACCAAATGAATAGACTGCTCTGAGAATTGGGGGAAGGAGGAGGTGGACACTTCCATTTCTTATAACAAGTAATAAATAGTTATGATGCTCAGCCAGTGAGCGCACCAGCCATCCCTATATAGGATCCGAACCCGTGGCCTCGGTGCTACCCTTGGCATGGTGGTGTCTGCACCATGCTCAGCCAGTGAGCGCACCAGCCATCCTTATATAGGATCCGAACCCGTGGCCTCGGTGCTACCAGCGCTGCAC